TTCCGATAATATGGGCAGAGGTGAGCCAATGAGGGGTACAACCACCCAAATGAACCGCGATAATTGCCGTTTAATATCTTGAATGCGAAATGAAGGTTGGATGGACTGTTAATCTTTATTGACATGATTTACGAACACGTGAGGGCATCGGATGGTGATATTTGTTTCAAATTGTCTAGATTTAATATGAGCAATGTTCGTCTTAAGGTACATTGACAATTAGGTTGAGTATTCTGTCGGATTTGCATGGTCCTAGATGAGAACAACAATTCGTGTATCTTCTAGGCTATGCGATGCCAATTTGCAGTAGAATGCACAAAAAAGTAAGATCTGATTGCTGTTTTTCTCAATTTCTCTGAAAACCCAGGAGCTTTTCACTTCCACTTAGTTCTTACATGCAACCGGGGCTTCCGTCGGTCTTCATTTCATGCAACTTCAGGCAAATCGGTTTAAGCGACTAAAAACCAACTTCGAAAAACAAAAAGCTGCACCGTATCTTTCCATTCGTCCAGCTCGGGTTGAAATCTCTCTCGCTGATAACGATCTCGACCGGAATGGCTAAGCACCGGAGGAAAATAAAACAAACCATTGAATTTGATTAATTATAGTGCTATCTAGTGCATCAACTGAATAACCATCTTTTCTCGAACAGTTCGGCTGCCGTGCACTGCTTGCTCGCGCTCCTTGGCCTTTCACCGAAATCTCGGATCAGTTTGATTGGCTCATTGCTACGCAAGACTTTGTCGGACTGAGGCATTGCAGGAAAGGTTGCCAGTGCGTCTTCATTCACCGGGGGGCGGGGACAGGACCCAAGTTGAGTAAGAAAATTTGTGCTCCTTGAGCGCAATAAGAAAAACCAATCGAAATCGAAATTAAATTCCCATGGTTTGTTCTGACGTACGAACGCCTGGTCTGTGTCTGCTGGGCTTGGACCTCTGCCAAGTCATGCCCGATGGCAATCAGTGGCCCCACACGGAAGATGCATGGTCAAATGAAATTGAAAACAACGAAAACGATTCATGCTTTAAAACATGGAAACGGCTTTGGCTTTCCATTTCGAATGGGATTGATTTTATTTTTTATAGTTTGGTTGCACAGGTTATCGACAGTGTGTGTAAGTGCATACGAGAGGTGCGTGTAATGGAGCGTACTGCATCAGATGATTCTTATCTTGTGGTGGATTTCCGAAGTAGCATTGAGATCACTGTGGAGAAAGGTGGTGCGTGAAGAAATCTTTTTAAGTTATAGATTTCAGTTATGCAAGTGGTTCTCTCAAAAACCTGGATGGATTGTATAAATTACTTATATACATTTTTAAATTTAATTACTCCCATGGTCAGGCCAGAGATGGCACTAAAATGGCTAAAATGCTTTTAGTATACGATGGAGAAGGTAACAACTAGAACTTCCATCCTGAGATGTCGCTGGATGAATTATCCCAGAATTTTGACATATCTAGGGATTTACGTTTTTTTTTTTAATTTGCGACTCTTTTACACCTTGAAATCTTTCATGGAATATCTATAGTAGAATTTGAATCCAGAACCTACACATCTTATGAAATATATCTCTTCCCTTCGTTTTCCATTTATTTTGATTTACCGAAAGTATTGCACTCAGACTTCATTTTTGACGTAGAACTACGTCTGTAATTGTTATATGGGGGTACACTTTGTGAAAACCAAAAATGGAACATGTAACAAAATTATGAATGATTTTGAACGTTAATAACTCAGCAGGCCCTGGAATAATTTCAATAATTTTATCGCCAATCGATCTGATATATCCCTACGCAACTGTTAAATTTAAAACTTTATCATTTTTCAAAATCTCGCTATTGAAAATTGCATGAATGTGCAACTCTTGCAATGATAATTAAAATCATCACCGATTGTCTGCGAAAAGCGATTTCCCTAACACAGATTTTAGAGTTGAATTCCATCCGGTCTCACTAAACGGTGTTTATTCAATCACCACGTTGTGAGTGGTGGTGTTCTCCAGTACACAACGAAAGGTTCCCCGCAAGCAGCTAGCTATCAAGGCTGTCCTCAACCGCTGATCGGATTCAGTTCCAATAACCGTGTGTGGTGGAGTTCGTTCGTCGACAGCAGCAGCAGTGATTTCGGCGCGTGGCGTTGAACATTGTTCTCCAGTACACAACAAAAGGCTGCCTGCAAGCATAGAAGTAGGAAGAAGCTGCACCGCTATTGATCGGAATCAGTAGCTCTTCGTGAGTCGCTGTGGTCCACCTATGTCAAGCACGTCATACTAAAAAGTATTAACAGAGAGAACCCATATTCCTACACAAAACACAAGCTCCTGCAACAATTGCAATTGCAATTGCAAAAAATGCAACAAAACAAACATAGTCCTACGTCACCATTGCGTGCAACCCCATAGGGCTGTCCCTTGTAGTTTTTTTGTATTTGATCGTTGTACAAGAAGCATTCGTGAAAAATACGATCTAGCAGTGAACATTTTGTTCATATTTTATAATCGTGTATCTAGATGGTAAAAAGTTTAAAATCAAGTTGAGCGTCGTGAGACGTCCATCATTCATAGTTGATCGAAAAACCATTAAAATACATTGTTAAGACGGTTGAAAGTACGTTATGAAGCTAGTGTCGTCTGATGAAAAGACTCAGTATTTGTAGTTTTTAGAGACCTTCCTTAGATTGGTTAGCGGAATCTTGCAAAATGCTGACTTCTACCTTGGGTTCCATAGCTCTCCCTCGCTGTTTTTTGCTTACCATTTCTTACGTTCACAGGCAGAGTTGCAACCTATCACAATCACGATCGTCAAACAACTGATGGTAGTAACGCTTGCTACATTCCTATCAATGTGCTTGTCGAAGCACTCTCCATGAACATCCATCAAGTTGACGAAAGAAGTAAAACGCAACTGGTGAATGTCGTCTTCGGTGAGGACCCATCACCGATCTGGTCAATCCCAACAATCACGACACTCAACTGTGCGCGTTTTGAAGCAGTTGCTGCTTTGCTTGCTTATGTGAGTGTGTTGGTGAGTGAGCCCAACAGCTTCCGTTTCATTTTGCCAGTTTTGTTTGTAACTCACACCGTCGCACATGCCGAGACGAACTTGGAATGCGTAGGCATTGCTTCATTTTTTTCTGTCGTTGCGCTTTTTCTCATCATCGTACTGCAGAAGTCTCCACTATTTTCGTTGTGCTTTACATCATCAGCAAGAAGTGTTACGTTTTGTCTCTGAGCAGCGACCATTACTGGTGATTGTTGTTTGCCATGGCTCTACCTCTCACTGCGTGACAAAACGTTCTGTCAGCGATAGTCGGTTGATGCGTTGACGAGTGTCGAGTGAGTATCATGATATTTTGCATCACTGTTCACAGGTATGCATTACCTTTACCCGTTAGTATGTAATTCATGTAATCCTAAAGCACAGCAAAATAGTTTTTTACAAATGCATCAGAAAGCATCCAACACAATCATCATGATCTGTATGGACCATTGTGAGATTTGACCGACAAACATAACATCACGTCACATCAGGGAACCACTTAGAAGTCAATAGCCATTCATTTAATTTCAGAGAACTTCATAGAAGTTTGTGAAACTTCATAACAGTTCACAGACTGTTATAGATCTTCAGAATACTTCGTAGAATTTTAGATAACTGCGTGGAAGTTTAGGGAACTACGCTGAAATTAAATTTTTTTTTAGAGGTGCAGCAAATAGGAGTTCAGTTAACCCTGAGAATTCTCAGCGAACTTTCTACAACTTCAGTGAACTTCGTAGAAGTGAAGAGAACTTTGTAGAACTTCAGCAACAACTTCAGTACTTGAATTTGAGAATCTTGTAGAAACTCGGGGTACGTCGTTGATGTTCAGGAATCGTTTCTTTAATTCCATCGAACTTCGTAACATTTTAGCAACTTTGTCGATTTTCAGCGAACAGCTTAGCAATTCAGGAGATTTAAGAAAAATTCAGAGAGCTTCAGAGAATTTCGTATGAATTCAGAGAGCTTTGATGAAATTCGGGAAAACTTCATAGAAGTGGAAACTTCCGTTTGAGAAACTTTGTTTTATTTCAGAAAACTTCATAAAGGTGTTCCGAGACCTTCTCTTAATTACACGAATCCATTGACGAAGGATTTTGTTAGTACATGGAATTTCGGAAACTTTGTCGAACTTCATGAAATCGAAAATCCTAAAAGTTCAAGAAACTTTATAAAAGTGCAACTTTGTAGAAGTTTACTACAGGGAATTTAGTGAAAGTTCAGGAAAGTTTAAAAATTCCGGCCAGTTTTCTAGTGGCTGTCGCAGTATTATACATATTTGGTTTATTTTTCAAAACATCTTTGAAGTACTGGGAACTTCGTAGAAGTTGACGAAAAATCCCAGGAGTTCATCAAACATTCCACTTATTCAGGAAACTTCATAGAGGTTTTGAGTTCACGGAACTGAGTCTTTAAATAAATTCAGGAAGCGTCGTGAAATGTTCGATAACTTGGTTGATATTCACGAATTTTCGATGCCTTTATTCTTTGAACACTCCTTAAATTGTTTTCAAAATACAAAATACTAAATTCTTTATGAATACTTCGTTTGGATTTTTAAATTTCTTTAAAATCATTTGAAAAATGTCACGTTATTTTATTCTTCTGGAATTATTCTAATTTATTCAAACCATCCTTATAATTGTTTTCCCTTAGAATTCTTCTTGGGATTCCTTTAAAAATCAGCTAAGAATTGCTTTGCAATAATGTATAAGATTTTCATAGATTTATTTCATTATTATGATTCTATTTAACAACCGGATTAATGTCAATTGCTTATGGTAGTGAAATTGATCAAGGAATTGTGTGCTAATTCATACATGTACTAATTTACTAACTGCTAACGCAAAATAAATTTCCATATTGTTAAATTAAAGGGTGTATTCGATCAAAATGGCAAATTTCTCGGAATTGTCAGTGAAGATTGTTTAGTTCATAGCATGCTCATGTAATTTTTATGAAGGTATTAGAAGTGGTTTATCTCAAGTAATAGTTCCATCCACTGCTCTATCCGCTGCTCTATCCGCTGCTCTATCCGCTGCTCTATCCGCTGCTCTATCCGCTGCTCTATCCGCTGCTCTATCCGCTGCTCTATCCGCTGCTCTATCCGCTGCTCTATCCGCTGCTCTATCCGCTGCTCTATCCGCTGCTCTATCCGCTGCTCTATCCGCTGCTCTATCCGCTGCTCTATCCGCTGCTCTATCCGCTGCTCTATCCACTGCTCTATCCGCTGCTCTATCCGCTGCTCTATCCACTGCTCTATCCGCTGCTCTATCCGCTGCTCTATCCGCTGCTCTATCCGCTGCTCTATCCGCTGCTCTATCCGCTGCTCTATCCGCTGCTCTATCCACTGCTCTATCCGCTGCTCTATCCGCTGCTCTATCCGCTGCTCTATCCGCTGCTCTATCCGCTGCTCTATCCGCTGCTCTATCCGCTGCTCTATCCGCTGCTCTATCCGCTGCTCTATCCGCTGCTCTATCCGCTGCTCTATCCGCTGCTCTATCCGCTGCTCTATCCGCTGCTCTATCCGCTGCTCTATCCGCTGCTCTATCCGCTGCTCTATCCGCTGCTCTATCCGCTGCTCTATCCGCTGCTCTATCCGCTGCTCTATCCGCTGCTCTATCCGCTGCTCTATCCGCTGCTCTATCCGCTGCTCTATCCGCTGCTCTATCCGCTGCTCTATCCGCTGCTCTATCCGCTGCTCTATCCGCTGCTCTATCCGCTGCTCTATCCGCTGCTCTATCCGCTGCTCTATCCGCTGCTCTATCCGCTGCTCTATCCGCTGCTCTATCCGCTGCTCTATCCGCTGCTCTATCCGCTGTTCTATCCGCTGCTCCATCGTAGCCCACTTCATGGTGTATTCAGATATGAGCGTGCATTAACGGAGTGGAGCAAAATATGCGTTGGAATGAGAGGGACATCTAGTACTTTTTTCTCACTCCTACCTTCGCAAAATCTTACTCCGCGCGTGAAATATCGCTCAGGATGGAATCCACCTCTATTGGAGTCCAATCGCCACCCGTCAAGAAGGCGCATAGATGGCTCTGTTGACAGTTTTTTTTTTCCAATCGTCTCACAACTATACGCAACAAAAACAGTTACCGTTCAGTTACATGGTTATCATTGATAGTTTTTCCGGTTGTGTAAATGAAAAAAGGTAGAAAACCTGTTTTTAAATGTATTTTATTTTATATTGCATAACCCTTTGCCCCTAAAAAAAATAACTGTAATCATTTCTAAAGATTTTGGATTTTCATGATTGGAAAAAAATATTTATCACGATTTATAATCAATTTTGAGCATATAAGAATTTAAGATATCGTAACAACAGAAAATTTACAAGATCTCAAGGATAGAAAATTATTTCAGACTCCGCACTTTAAAACATTTTCAAGACTATAGCACTTATTGAAAATGTTCAATGCATTGTACTTGGGAAATTGGGACTAAGGATTTATTTTCTAAGATCTCGGATTTTACAGACTAATATCATGTAATATAGGCTGCCTTGCAATGAGCACTCAAACATCTAGTTTTCACTGGAAATCCTATGTATGAGTGCTCATTGCAAGACAGCCTATATTACATGATATAAGCCATAGTCTGTCCGGGGTATAAGACAAAAGCGATCACTTTAAAAATCAAAATTATAACATCTCTCAAAATACTTCAAGGCACAGAATCTTTGAATATTTCTGTCAGTCAATGGTTCGACTGTACTTGTCTTAGAATCTTGAAAATTTCAATAACTCGCTGAATCTTGAAGATTTTTTCTGCGATCTCAAAATGCCTTTCTAGGAACTAATGTTTTTTTATGTCCAAGGATAAAAAAAAATCATGCCCAAATAGTTCGATCTAATGGCCATGGAAAACTGGGAGCGGGACATTTCGCTGAAGGAGGTTTCGCCGAAGGACGTATCATCGAAGAATTTTTCGCCGAAGAACGTTTCGCCGATGGACGTTTGCCGAATGGTAATTTCGCGGAAGGTCATTTTGCCGAATGGGTAATTTCGCCGAAGGGCAAGCCATTTTCTACGGTTCTGAACTTATATCAAAGCGCAGTAAGTTTTGAAATCAATCTCAAAAAAAGATTAAGAAGCTTTGATTTTTTCAACCTGGCCAGCTATTCAAATGCTTCATTCTTTTAAACATGAGCAGTTCTTTTGAGTTATACTGATTTCCGAAATTTTCGAATAATTGTATTTTTGATTTATATGAATGCTTCCTTCTTTTGAACATGATCAGTTCTTTCGAGTTGTACTGATTTCAAAAAAATTTCAACAATAGATATTTTTGATAGGGTTACGGGATGTAATGTCAGCCTAGCCCCTCACTTCGGCCTATCAAGCAAATAACTAATTAATTCAGCAATAATTCAAAGTAGTTATGAAAAACTAGTATCGCATCTACTGTGAAATTGTTATCCGTAAAGGCATTGTATATTTTTAGGACAAATGTAGTTAAGGTACTCTTTTTTGAAGGAAAAAATGAGTGAAATTTGTATGTTTTTTTATGTATAGGCGCCATGATCTAGCCGAATTATTATACTAATGGAAATCTACACTGAGGTGGTCATCAAAAAACCCGTGAATTGAAAGGACTTACCTTTTTGTCACATGGTAGCCTAACAAATCAATATCAAAGTTTTCACATGTATTGTTAATTCAGAAGATTTAGCGCAAATTGCGCTTTAAAACTATGGGCCGAACTTTAGAGACGTCATTTTGAGACGTGTTTTTAATTATGGGCTATGAAATGTATATGATGACTTTAAAATGGTATTGGTGAAACCATTAGCGCAGACGACGAGCCTGCAACTCTTTACTCCTGTAAGAAAATCCCATAATGAAATGTTAGTTTCGAGAAACATAGCGAATGGTTTCTTTACCTTTTCACTCCACTGAAAAGTTTCAAAGGCAAAACGGGTCGAAATGGTACGCCAATTTGCGTCTACAAAGCTTCTTTACTCCTATGGGAAAATTCGATAAACAAACGTCACTGGATGCGTGAAACATTGCGACTTTTCTCTTATTCGGTCGCTCTACCGAAAAATCCCGCAGCCAAGTGTCAATCTTTGCCTGAAAATTCTACTAACTAGAACTAGTTTTCTAAAAGGGTGTACACCCGTACATGAAAAAACAAAATTGCTCAACAGTTGAGTTATTTTATATTAGTATTTAGAAATGCCTCTCATGCTAACAAATACAAAACAGCCAGTGAGTAAAAACCCATTTATGGCTAACAGTGGTTCCTGAATTGATTCTAGTTTTGGTATTTGCTAAAAGCTGACTAAAAATTGCTGAAATGCACTGTAGGAAGTGATCCAATGTTTGACTAATTAACTGAAATATGATTCTGTTCATAGGTTTTGGGGAGAAACACCATTTCACAATACGTTTCTGATGGACTGATTTTTTTCAGTTAATTAATGAACTTTTTCAGATACCTACCCACTGAGAGAATTAACAACAATATTATCAGTTATTTCAGGCTGCTGTCATCGCGTAAAATGAACTATACCTTATGACCTAGCTCATGACCATACTTCATTGTACGTCAACAAAATTTTAAAAGATTTACATTAATCAGTATGTTTTTGAAATATAATTTAACTTCATAAAGAAACACGGCTGTTGAATTTGAGTTATATTTGAGCTCCGTTCACTCAAATTCGCAAAATAAAAACGCAGGTCACTCCGAGGGGGACGACTCTACCTACGCTGCAGGAAAGATTGTGTTGTGCTGTGGCTAGCTGCTCGCACGCTGAGTAGATAGAAAGAAGATTGATGACGATTCTGAAGATTTCCTGCAAAAAGATGATGCGCGATGCAAGTAGATGCGAGAAATGCAAGACGATTTTTCGAAGATTGATTCGCTAGTGTGAGATTTTTTAAGCATCTAAAATTGAGATTTAGATGTGTCGCCCCCCTCGGGTCACTCAAAGACTGAGTAAATTTTTTCTCGGTTTTCCAGAAAAGAAAAAAAACGTTTCGAATGTGAGGACAATCAAGAGAGGTTTCACCATAGAGGTAACTCTAAGACTAGAAGGTCCCTTAAGAAACGTGCTCAATTTTTTAGCTCAGCTCTGGTACTACTCTTGGTCCCAAGCTAATCGAAATATAGGAAAATTCACAAACCCCTAATTTTATCTGTCAAACTTTCATAGCAAATCAAACAAACATAGCGTAGTACTAGAATTTAAAATAGAATGGGGTACTTTAATCGATTTGCTTGGGACCAGTAGTGCTTATATCTCGGCCATTTTAGAACCGATTTTCCTCAACTTTTCATTAATATATTGGTCATGGTCACGTGAACTGTTCTTGAAATGGTATCGTTAAATACGGATGATATTTTTTTTATAATATTTTCTAGAACCCAGTACTCTTTAAGTAGTTCAATCATGAATTCAACTACATATCTAGCTCATACTAGATATTTTTAAAAGTTTTCAGGAAAAATATGTAAAAGCAGGAGAAATCAATTAGTTATGAGATCCGATGGGATCCTATATTGCTACGAGGTGCATACTCACGGCGAATTGTCAAGACTTTGGCTTTAGTGGTTTCTACTGGATGGTCTACAGACCGTAGATCACTAGCCAATGGGTTTTTTTTTCTGTTTACGGTCTTCCCAGAGGGAATCGTATTGAAGTCAGAGTCGTTCTTGAACAAGTTTGCGTTTATTTCATAAGGTTTACAGAGTTTATGTAGCAGAAAACAGCTTCAGTATTTAACACGGTTACAATTGACTTTTCATTAAATCTAGTGTATTAAAAAGAGATAGAAAGAGACGCCTGGTAAGGTGTTGACAAACATTGAAATTTTTTGGCTGATTTTGATTTACGCGCTCATCAATATAAGTGTTGTGATATTGGACACTTTTTATTGCCCTTTCTGGTTCTACTAATTCGAGACTTTTTAGTGCACCGAGTCTAGAAAAAGGAAACTCAGCAAAACACATGTTCGGTTCGTTCGCTATGTGCATTCGCACCATGCATGCATTTCTGACTGTCCTCATTCTGTCACGGTTCTATAATTGATTGATCAGGAAGATGCATAGCACACAGTCTAAGCACAAACCGCACTTTACCTCTCTTTGTTGAACGGGTTAAAGTGTCACAAACTATAGAGATATTGTTGAAAATCTAATACTGCTTCTTGATTCCAGTTCCGTTCAAACACATTGAAACGTTATTGGATGCACTTCGGCATACGTCTGATATTAACATTCATTCAGTATCTCCCTCAACTATGAATTAGGTGTTAAACGATATAAAATGAATATTAAATCAAATGTGAAACTACATTCCAGGATACGCCATAGATCCTTATGTCAACTCACAAGCAATATTTTACGGTTGCTTTATTTGTTTAGTTTGCTTAGCAAAATTTCACCTCACCTTCATAAATATGTACCGATCAAATAAACCATATCCGTAAGCCCATGAAATACAAGCAACACCTCCGGACCAGCGCCCATGCATGCCTAAGCAAAACAACCGCTGCCGGTTGGCAGTTGATAACGTTATTCTCCCGACAAGATCCCGTTTCTTCTCGTAAATACTTGGCAGTTCACGTGAAAGGACCATAGAAGTCACCGACCGACCGGTTGAACCGAACCGCCTTCCTGACTGCCATCCAGGTTGGACCAGGCTGCCTGTCGTCGTTCGGTGAAAATTTAATCTTAATTTATGACTCGCATCACAGATAATTACGTAGTGGCGACGAGGTTAAGTACACCGATGATGAATTGTTTCCTTGGCCACGACTCACAAGTAGGAACCAACTTCTTTTTTTTTCGATTGGCATCGATGACACGGTTTGGCTCCCTTTTGTCGGTGGGTCTTACACA